GTAAATTTTCTAGATTGCTTATATCAAATCCCCTTATAAATAGTCTTTTATGTAAGCTTCGGACAATGCCGGTTTCAAACCTGTCTGCTCGTTTTTTGTCGTATGTTTATTGCGAAGCTTTTCATGTACGTTCTTTTTTTACAACATTTAACGGGTAATCTTTATGCAGCTTTCTAGCTAGTTGAATAAACTAATTAACTTTGTTTCAAGCGACAAACAATGCTAACCATGCCTCCTAGTTACTTTTCATCCAAGCATACACCACACAATATTATTTTAACTCTTATTAATAGACAGAAAAGTTTTGAATAAAAATTCTGCATATGATATTCCTGGTTAAATAAATAAGTGCAACTGAATTGACAAAAGGCTAATTTTAAATTAAATATCTATGTATACATTAGAGAGGCACATATCAAATCGGAACTTATCACTATTTTTTATCGGCATCGTGGTATGTTATATATTTTTGGCATTCGATTTATCAAGCTATGTACATTCAGACTTCTGGCTTACATAGATCCAAGCTCGATACGTGTCATGTTCCCGCTATCTTAGTCATCTAATTGATTTAATGCTTTGCCTATTATCGACGTATCTAAGCGTTTCGGGCTCTTATTATTTGTTGATTCACATTTTCTACATTATTTCTATTTTTACTTTTTGTTGTTTACCAAACCACAAACCCTTAACAGACATACAGTGCGGCTGACAAAACTTCAACTCGGTGTCTTCGCTCTGCATCATCGAGACTCACGTGTTCAAAATTTCGTGGTGTCGCATCCAGGTGGCATTGACTCTCCTGCTTTGTTAGTTCGTCATTTGAACCGGCTGACGGGCCCTGAGCTGCGTCGTCTAGCCGTCAGATTTGCTCTTCTGCCAGACGTTCAGTCAGATGAGGCCAGTGTCACAGATATTGCTGAAGTTGGCAATGAGGATAGTAAGCTCGATAACTCTGAGCAAGGTGAACCTATGATTCATAAAACTTTACCGGATGCGAAGCGTGCTAGGATGGACGAAAGGGGCTTTCTAACTCTTGAGCCATCATTGGAAGAGACGACGGAAGGAGAGAAAGAGAAATTCGAGAAATGTTCTGCAGATCAGGGGGCGATTGGTGTTAAATCGGTTCGACGTCTTAACAGAGAAGACGGCTATTTGCACATTGATAAAGACATGATAATCAAGGTAAATTACTCTATATCCCAATTTTACCTGTTTTCGCAGATAAGAATATAAATCTGGTGTGGCCTCGATATTGACTGCAGATTCCTTTAGCTATATACGAGTGTGTTAGCAGCAATGTTTCCATATTAAATACGAGTCATACCTCGAGACATGCTCTGTAACCTAATGTAAATTAAAAGACTGAGGAGTTCGTGTTGAAGCTGTATATAGATCACTAGCTGCACAAAGCTAAATATTTGTATGTTGTTAATGAAGGTGCGAAGAGCAGAATGGATGGAGAAGGTTTAGCTGGAGTGTTATAATAAAGGTAGCTTGCTAAAGTTTTTTTCAAACGAGAAGAAACCAGTGGAAATACACTATAGAGGCTCAACATCAATAGGTAATGTAGATTTTAAGTAGAGGGGACGAGCGCCGGAACTTTCCACGCATTTTTACTTAGGGTGACAGTTGATATAGGAGGGTATTTTACGATTCGTGCATGAAAGTTGCGCGTTTTCGCGAGCCAAATGTCTCAAGGCAGTAAAGGCTTGGGAGATACCTCTAGTTCTAAAGTACGCCCTGCGTAAGACACGCGCGATTTTAATGCTGGTTTAAAGGGTTACACTAATAAGTCCATATGTAGGCTCTATGCGAAGGATAGTTTTATTTGCTTGTCATGGCAGAGCTCTGATGAATCATACTCCGAATGTTGTGTGTATTTATCGATAATATTGTTGACAAAACAGAATGAATGTAACAAAACTATAAATTGAGCACACGACTATGGTTTTAAGACTACAAGTATTTTGACATCGCTTTCTTAACTTATTCGTACTGTCAGGGCGGCCTCGATTAATGTTCTTGTTCAGACTTCTTTGCCGTAATAGTATTCATAATTTACGTCAAACATTGTACATTCCTAGATCTTTTGCTTGTATTGTAGTCGGCGCCATCGGTGGCCCTTGCTATTCTTAGAGTCAAGCCACAATTCGTCAATAAGACAGGCGAAATGCATCCTTCGACCAATTTTCTGATTTAAAAGTGTTTTATTTCTCCTGTCAATTTACAATCACCTAACCCATACCTGTTTTCTCAATCCCTCCCTATCACAATCTATTTCGGTGATGCTGGTCTACTCCAGGTATGCGAGTTAAGTGAGCAGCTCTTATTCCCTTTGATGTACCGGAAATCCTGACCTAATTTGGCCTTTCTAATATGCAAACTACCCTAACTAACTCCTACTCGAATCTTTCTCCTGCTTTAAAACGTCCACTCCTTATCTTATTTCGCTCGGCTTAGGTCGCCGTTTCTTATTTGCCTGAGGCCTTACTGATTCCCAAGTTTGCTGCTATGGACCACTTGTGCGTCTCCTTATCTCAGTTC